TGTCCATAGTTGCTATTACCTTAAGAAGAAAACACTACTTTTAACAATGGTACAGATGAGGATGATTTAAAGCTATCTTACTCACAGGCTGAATAGGTCATCATCGTGACAATGAAATTCATTCATACTGAGGCTAGATTAAATGGAGAATAGTCATTACTAATTTTGGTCTTTTTCTATTGGGGATCTTCTGGTGGTGTGTTGGATTACATTTTTACTATGGTATTATTGGTATCTTCTGTTCTCACTTTTAACAATTGCAAGTATCCTGTACTAACATAGTTTAGATGTGTGTATTTCCCGTGTAAGATTGAGATTGTCTTGGCGTTGCATATACATACACACACACACACACACACACACACACACACACACATATGTATGCATGTATAATGCTATGTGGGAAAGACCTTGGGAGATGGGGAAATAGATGCTACCTAGGGAATGATCAGATAAGTGAGACCATCAGATAACTAAGGCATGATGAATGTGAGCAGGGTGCTCCAGTCCAGAATATTCAATGGCAATGTTGAATATTGTTGCACTTTCTATTGGAAACCCCTGGAAGCATGACTTTTCCCCGCCCTCTATTACTCACCAGAACCTTTATTTCAGGAAGGCGAACATCCACTGCAAACCAGTGCTTTCTATTCCCACTCCTTGGAGGTGGTCCAGTAACATACTATGATCAATAGTATTAACAGCTACAAAAATGTTTAGCCAGATCACTTGTAGTTCCACAATCCTGAGTCTTGCTGCAGATTATATACAACAGTGATTTATTCTTAGTACAATACCTAGGATCTAGATTTTTTTTTCCAAATGTCCAGGTATCTCAAGGACATGGCAGGTCTGATGCTCATCATTCCCTTCCATATATATTTAAGACACTGTTGCCTGAACTAATCCAGGCTTTTTTTTTAACCCCCTAATTATATTTCAGCCTTTTGAAAAATATACTCTGAGGTGTTGTTCTTTACAGTCCTTTGTATTGCTGAAGATATTATTTGGGTTTTTTTCCAGTTTTGAATTTTATATCAATAATTTGTCAATTCTTAGTAATGTCAGGGAATCTTATCAATTCCTAGAAATTTGCTGAATTACAGTTTCTAGTAATGACAGCCAGTATCTCCAATGATAAATGATATCAAGAATTGTTGCTCAGAAACATCAGACAAGTAACAAGGATGTGTCCATCCATCATCCTCGTTACTTAGGAGAAGGATGAGTCACATTTCCAGCCCTGAGAACTATATCCAGTAGTCAGAAGTCACAGGCTATACATATGTATGCATGATCCCCACATGCTTATGCTGCAATAATTACTTCTCCATTATCATTGGTAGTCTTTAAAATGCTTGCCAGGAAGATAAAATTGTTCTCTTTTTTTCTACAATATGTGCAGTGTCACTAGTAGGGGATGCTTTGTTCTCCACCTCACCTTTTTTTAAAAAAATTCTGCAGCACATCACCAGTTTTTAGTAGGATCCAGGGAGATCAGTTTTTCAAATGATTTCTGGTCCAGACTGCTGCCAGCGTGAGTGGGAATCTACAATGTGTTTCCCACTCTTCAGCTTGATCCATTTGGTGTCAGAGAAACAGAAGTAGGCCATGGAGGCTTTCCAGGCCCTAGAGAGAATAACCAATAGCCACATTTAGTCCCCTTGTTGCATTTCCATGGTGGTGCAATAGTTAGAGCGCTGTATTGCAGTCTTAATTCTGCTGATTGCCAGCAGTTCGATTCTCACTGGCTCAAGATTGACTTAGCCTTAGGTTGGTAAAACGAGGACCCAGATTGTTGGGGGAAATCTCCTGATTCTGTAAAGTTTACAGTGTAAACTACTTAAAGAGGGCTGTAAAGCACTATGAAGCAGTATATAACTGTGCTATAATTGTAGATTACAGCCACATGTTGATTTTGAATGTTGATTTTATTTATATGCCGCCCTTTTCCCCCCGAAGGGGACTCAGGGCGGCTCACAACTCAACCAGGGAAGGGGGATACAAACAAAAAATTAAAACAACACAAAACATTTCCTTTGTTTCCTTGCAACTGCCCATCATCCACTGTTGCCTAGGGATATATGAGAATCCTTACCAGTTCCTAGAAATGGACTGTGATGCCTAGTACAGCCATACCTTTTATTTTACATGTGACAGGCTACTAGTGCCGTGCCACACTAGTTAAGTTGCTTGCTGAATCTGCCAAAATCAGATAAATGCCAGGCTGTCAAGCATGATTGATGTAGCTGATTTAGTTTTGGTCAGTTGCAAGTTTTCCAGGCCTGCATGCTTTTATTAATGCCTTATTTAGCAAAGATAGAAGGACACACGAAACATCTAACCATAGATCATCTTGAATTGTTTCT